CACGGTTGAGGAGCCAGGACCCGTAGTGAACACGGGTGAGGAGCCAGGGGCCCGTAGTAGTGAACACGGGTGAGGAGCCAGGGACCCGTAGTGACGGTGAGGAGCCAGGGGCCAGGGGCCCGTAGTGAACACGGGTGAGGAGCCAGGGACCCGTAGTGAACACGGGTGAGGAGCCAGGGCCCGTAGTGAACACGAGTGAGGAGCCAGGGCCCGTAGTGAACACGGGTGAGGAGCCAGGGACCCGTAGTGAACACGGGTGAGGAGCCAAGGGCCCGTAGTGAACACGGGTGAGGAGCCAGCCGGGTGAGGAGGGCCCGTAGTGAACACGGGTGAGGAGCCAGGGACCCGTAGTGAACACGGGTGAGGAGCCAGGGGCCCGTAGTGAACACGGGTGAGGAGCCAGGGCCCGTAGTGAACACGGGTGAGGAGCCAGGGACCCGTAGTGAACACGGGTGAGGAGCCAGGACCCCGTAGTGAACACGGGTGAGGAGCCAGGGGCCCGTAGTGAACACGGGTGAGGAGCCAGTGGCCCGTAGTGAACACGGATGAGGAGCCAGTGGCCCGTAGTGAACACGGGTGAGGAGCCAGGGGCCCGTAGTGAACACGGGTGAGGAGCCAGGGGCCCGTAGTGAACACGGGTGAGGAGCCAGGGGCCCGTAGTGAACACGGGTGAGGAGCCAGGGCCCGTAGTGAACACGGGTGAGGAGCCAGGGCCCGTAGTGAACACGGGTGAGGAGCCAGTGGCCCGTAGTGAACACGGATGAGGAGCCAGGGGCCCGTAGTGAACACGGGTGAAGAGCCAGGGGCCCGTAGTGAACACGGGTGAGGAGCCAGGGGCTCGTAGTGAACACGGGTGAGGAGCCAGTGGCCCGTAGTGAACACGGGTGAGGAGCCAGGGGCCCGTAGTGAACACGGGTGAGGAGCCAGGGGCCCGTAGTGAACACGGGTGAGGAGCCAGGGGCCCGTAGTGAACATGGGTGAGGAGCCAGGGACCCGTAGTGAACACGGGTGAGGAGCTAGGAGCCGTAGTGAACACGGGTGAGGAGCCAGGGACCCGTAGTGAACACGGGTGAGGAGCTAGGAGCCGTAGTGAACACGGGTGAGGAGCCAGGGGCTCGTAGTGAACACGGGTGAGGAGCCAGTGGCCCGTAGTGAACACGGGTGAGGAGCCAGGGGCCCGTAGTGAACACGGGTGAGGAGCCAGGGGCCCGTAGTGAACACGGGTGAGGAGCCAGGGGCCCGTAGTGAACACGGGTGAGGAGCCAGGGACCCGTAGTGAACACGGGTGAGGAGCTAGGAGCCGTAGTGAACACGGGTGAGGAGCCAGGGACCCGTAGTGAACACGGGTGAGGAGCTAGGAGCCGTAGTGAACACGGGTGAGGAGCCAGGGGCCCGTAGTGAACACGGGTGAGGAGCCAGGGGGCCCGTAGTGAACACGGGTGAGGAGCCAGGGGCCCGTAGTGAACACGGGTGAGGAGCCAGGGGCCCGTAGTGAACACGGGTGAGGAGCCAGGGGGCCCGTAGTGAACACGGGTGAGGAGCCAGGGGCCATAGTCAGGTGAAATTTTGTGAAATTCCTGCCACTGAAACTTTTACACAATTGATGTAACCTTCATGAGGTTTATTAGGCTTGTAACTCCACAGTGGGAGAGCTCACACCATGGGAGGGCTCACACCGTGGGAGGGCTCACACCGTGGGAGGGCTCACACCGTGGGAGGGCTCACACCGTGGGAGGGCTCACACCGTGGGAGGGCTCACACCGTGGGAGGGCTCACACCGTGGGAGGGCTCACACCGTGGGAGGGCTCACACCGTGGGAGGGCTCACACCGTGGGAGGGCTCACACCGTGGGAGGGCTCACACCGTGGGAGGGCTCACACCGTGGGAGGGCTCACACCGTGGGAGGGCTCACACCATGGGAGGGCTCACACCATGGGAGGGCTCACACCGTGGGAGGGCTCACACCATGGGAGGGCTCACACCGTGGGAGGGCTCACACCGTGGGAGGGCTCACACCATGGGAGGGCTCACACCGTGGGAGGGCTCACACCATGGGAGGGCTCACACCATGAGAGGGCTCACACCATGGGAGGGCTCACACCGTTGGAGGGCTCACACCGTGGGAGAGCTCACACCGTGGGAGGGCTCACACCGTGGGAGGGCTCACACCGTGGGAGAGCTCACACCGTGGGAGGGCTCACACCGTGGGAGAGCTCACACCATGGGAGAGCTCACACCGTGGGAGAGCTCACACCGTGGGAGAGCTCACACCGTGGGAGAGCTCACACCGTGGGAGAGCTCACACCGTGGGAGAGCTCACACCGTGGGAGAGCTCACACCGTGGGAGAGCTCACACCGTGGGAGAGCTCACACCATGGGAGGGCTCACACCATGGGAGGGCTCACACCATGGGAGAGCTCACACCATGAGAGAGCTCACACCATGAGAGAGCTCACACCATGAGAGAGCTCACACCATGAGAGCTCACACCATGAGAGCTCACACCATGGGAGAGCTCACCATGGTCGTCTATCAATTACCAATGATTCAACCCAAACTCAGAGCTACATTATATATTTAACTGTTAAGTAAACACGAGAATAATTCATTATATAATTATAATTAACTAACGTGATATTTAAATTATTCGTCTAGATTAAGTTAAAAATTTATATATATCTTTAGTGATATAAATTAACACGTAAATAATTATTTTAAATTGAAGGATTTGATTATGTGGGAAAACATCTTCCCGATTGACTTTTATTTCAGGAAAAAATGATTGATAAGTATTATTTATGTTTACGAAATATTTAAATATTTAATTAAAAATATATATTAGAAATCTTAGTCAAATATTGTGAGTTTCTTCTCTCTTAGACACGCTGCTAAGACCGCCCACTGGGTGGGTGTAGGGAGTGTGTGACTAACCCACCCACCCGCCGCCCACTGGGTGGGTGTAGGGAGTGTGTGACTAACCCACCCACCGCCGCCCACCGAGTGGGTGTAGTAGTGAGTGACTAACCCACCCACCACCGCCCACTGGGTGGGTGTAGTAGTGAGTGACTAACCCACTCCACCCACCGCCCACTGGGTGGGTGTAGTAGTGAGAGACTAACCCACTCCACCCACCACCCACTGAGTGGGTGTAGTAGTGAGAGACTAACCCACTCCACCCACCGCCCACTGGGTGGGTGTAGTAGTGAGAGACTAACCCACTCCACCCACCGCCCACTGGGTGGGTGTAGTAGTGAGAGACTAACCCACCCACCCACCGCCCACTGGGTGGGTGTAGTGGTGAGTGACTAACCCACCCACCACCGCCCACTGGGTGGGTGTAGTAGTGAGAGACTAACCCACTCCACCCACCGCCCACTGGGTGGGTGTAGTAGTGAGAGACTAACCCACCCACCCACCGCCCACTGGGTGGGTGTAGTGGTGAGTGACTAACCCACCCACCACCGCCCACTGGGTGGGTGTAGTAGTGAGAGACTAACTCACTCCACCCACCGCCCACTGGGTGGGTGTAGTAGTGAGAGACTAACCCACCCACCCACCGCCCACTGGGTGGGTGTAGTGGTGAGTGACTAACCCACCCACCACCGCCCACTGGGTGGGGTGTAGTAGTGAGTGACTAACCCACTCCACCCACCGCCCACTGGGTGGGTGTAGTAGTGAGTGACTAACCCACCCACCACCGCCCACTGGGTGGGTGTAGTGGTGAGTGACTAACCCACCCACCACCGCCCACTGGGTGGGTGTAGTAGTGAGTGACTAACCCACTCCACCTACCGCCCACTGGGTGGGTGTAGTAGTGAGTGACTAACCCACCCACCACCGCCCACTGGGTGGGTGTAGTAGTGAGAGACTAACCCACTCCACCCACCGCCCACTGGTGGGTGTAGTAGTGAGTGACTAACCCACCCACCACCGCCCACTGGGTGGGTGTAGTAGTGAGTGACTAACCCACTCCACCCACCGCCCACTGAGTGGGTGTAGTAGTGAGTGACTAACCCACCCACCACCGCCCACTGGGTGGGTGTAGTAGTGAGTGACTAACCCACTCCACCCACCGCCCACTGGGTGGGTGTAGTAGTGAGTGACTAACCCACTCCACCCACCGCCCACTGGGTGGGTGTAGTAGTGAGAGACTAACCCACTCCACCCACCGCCCACTGAGTGGGTGTAGTAGTGAGTGACTAACCCACCCACCACCGCCCACTGGGTGGGTGTAGTGGTGAGTGACTAACCCACCCACCCACCGCCCACTGGGTGGGTGTAGTAGTGAGAGACTAACCCACTCCACCCACCGCCCACTGGGTGGGTGTAGTAGTGAGTGACTAACCCACCCACCCACCGCCCACTGGGTGGGTGTAGTAGTGAGTGACTAACCCACTCCACCCACCGCCCACTGGGTGGGCGTTCGTCCGGACTACAGAGTAAAACAGTACCATTCGTGACAAACGTCTCCCCAGCTGCCTTACAGAGCTGGTCCAGCTGTAAGACTAGACTCAGGCAGCAATGTTCTCAATATCACACAGTGGCTGTAACCTCTGTTCTCAATATCACACAGTCACTGTAACCTCTGTTCTCAATATCACACAGTCACTGTAACCTCTGTTCTCAATATCACACAGTGGCTGTAACCTCTGTTCTCAATATCACACAGTCACTGTAACCTCTGTTCTCAATATCACACAGTGGCTGTAACCTCTGTTCTCAATAATACAACATTTTACACTCAATAATACACCATTTTTGTATCTGAATTTCCCCCGTTGTGCAATCCTTCAATTAGGTGTGATTTATGTGTGCAATAAATGTGGTGGCGATGATGTATGAGCGAGCCTTATGAAAGCCAGGGCCCGGTCGCCCGCGGTCGTCACGGCGGGTCAGCGGGACACCCAGCCACGTGATATATATCCGCTAATAACCCGCTTCCTACCCGCTCCCTACCCGCACCAAGCCTGTGTGTGGCTGCTCTCTCAGTCGCAAGCCACCGTGCTCGCGGCTGAGGGCTGTGTAGGGGTGGATTTGTGGGGTTGAGGTCTGGTGATGTGGGGTTGAGGTCTGGTGATGTGGGGTTGAGGTCTGGTGATGTGGGGTTGAGGTCTGGTGATGTGGGGTTGAGGTCTGGTGATGTGGGGCTGAGGTCAGGTGATGTGGGGTTGAGGTCTGGTGATGTGGGGCTGAGGTCTGGTGATGTGGGGTTGAGGTCTGGTGATGTGGGGTTGAGGTCTGGTGATGTGGGGTTGAGGTCTGGTGATGTGGGGTTGAGGTCTGGTGATGTGGGGTTGAGGTCGGGTGACGTGGGTTTGAGGTCTGGTGATGTGGGGTTGAGGTCTGGTGATGTGGGGTTGAGGTCTGGTGATGTGGGGTTGAGGTCTGGTGATGTGGGGCTGAGGTCTGGTGATGTGGGGCTGAGGTCGGGTGATGTGGGGTTGAGGTCTGGTAATGTGGGGTTGAGGTCTGGTGATGTGGGGTTGAGGTCTGGTGATGTGGGGCTGAGGTCTGGTGATGAGGGGTTGAGGTCTGGTGATGTGGGGTTGAGGTCTGGTGATGTGGGGTTGAGGTCTGGTGATGTGGGGTTGAGGTCTGGTGATGTGGGGCTGAGGTCTGGTGATGAGGGGTTGAGGTCTGGTGATGTGGGGTTGAGGTCTGGTGATGTGGGGTTGAGGTCTGGTGATGTGGGTTTGAGGTCTGGTGATGTGGGGTTGAGGTCTGGTGATGTGGGGTTGAGGTCTGGTGATGTGGGGTTGAGGTCTGGTGATGTGGGGCTGAGGTCTGGTGATGTGGGGCTGAGGTCGGGTGATGTGGGGTTGAGGTCTGGTGATGTGGGGTTTGAGGTCTGGTGATGTGGGGTTGAGGTCTGGTGATGTGGGTTGAGGTCTGGTGATGTGGGTTTGAGGTCTGGTGATGTGGGGTTGAGGTCTGGTGATGTGGGTTTGAGGTCTGGTGATGTGGGGCTGAGGTCTGGTGATGTGGGGCTGAGGTCGGGTGATGTGGGGTTGAGGTCTGGAGAGTTGGTCAATCAATCAACAGATATTTTTATACATTATATATATATATATATATATATATATATATATATATATATATATATATATATATATATATATATATAGCGGGGCATATATATATATATATAGCGGGGCAAAACTATATATATATATATATATATATATATATATATATATATATATATATATATATATATATATATATATATATATATATAATATGTCGTACCTAGTAGCCAGAACGCACTTGTCAGCCTACTATGCAAGGCCAAATTTGCCTAATAAGCCAAGTTTTCCTGAATTAATATATTTTCTCAATTTTTTTTTCTTATGAAAAGATAAAGCTGCCCATTTCATTATGTATGAGGTCAATTTTTTTTATTGTAGTTAAAATTAACGTAGATATATGACCGAACCTAACCAACCCTACCTAACCTAACCTAACCTATCTTTATAGGTTAGGTTAGGTTAGGTAGCCAAAAAAGTTAGGTTAGGTTAGGTAGGTTAGGTCGTCGAAAAACAATTAATTCATGAAAACTTGGCTTATTAGGCAAATCGGGCCTTGCATAGTAGGCTGAGAAGTGCGTTCTGGCTACTTGGTACGACATATATATATATATATATATATATATATATATATATATATATATATATATTATGGAAGGGAGTACCACCTCTGGCTGCAAGAAAGGGACCCATAGCCTCGGAGGAAACCACGCATAACGCATTAGAGGGAATGTTTAGATCCCCTCCAATACAGTTTTCTGTGTGCTTTTCTCCTACCCCCCCCCCTTCCTTTTTTATTTTTTGTGCTTTATTATGTATTTGATGGTTACAAGATATACATGGGTTGATACAAATATATATATATATATATATATATATATATATATATATATATATATATATATATATATATATATATATATATATATATATATATATAATATATATATAATATTGTATACACACATCATTCAGAAACCTAAGTAAGGAGGCTTTTAGGGCGCTTTACACTGCCTACGTGAGGCCAGTCTTAGAGTATGCCGCCTCATCATGGAGTCCCCATCTGAAGAAGCATATAATGAAACTGGAAAAGGTTCAGAGGTTTGCAACGAGACTCGTCCCAGAGCTACGAGGGATGGGTATGAGGAGCGCCTGAGGGAACTGTGCCTTACGACACTAGAAAGGAGAGGGGGGACATGATAGGAACGTATAAGATACTCAGAGGGATTGACAGAGTGGACATAGACGAAATGTTCACACGGAATAGTTACAGAACGAGGGGACATGGATGGAAGCTTGAAACTCAGATGAGTCACAGAGATGTTAGGAAGTTTTCTTTTAGCGTGAGAGTAGTGGGAAAATGGAATGCACTTCAGGAACAGGTTGTGGAAGCAAATACTATTCATAATTTTAAACCCAGGTATGATAGGGAAATGGGACAGGAGTCATTGCTGTAAACAACCGATGCTCGAAAGGCGGGATCCAAGAGTCAGTGCTCGATCCTGCAGACACAACTAGGTGAGTACACACACGTGGAGCCGACGTGTGCGTGGAGCCGACGTGTGCGTGGAGCCGACGTGAGCGTGGAGCCGACGTGTGCGTGGAGCCGACGTGAGCGTGTAGCCGACGTGTGCGTGTAGCCGACGTGTGCGTGGAGCCGACGTGAGCGTGTAGCCGACGTGTGCGTGTAGCCGACGTGTGCGTGGAGCCGACGTGTGCGTGGAGCCGACGTGAGCGTGGAGCCGACGTGTGCGTGGAGCCGACGTGAGCGTGTAGCCGACGTGTGCGTGGAGCCGACGTGAGCGTGGAGCCGACGTGTGCGTGTAGCCGACGTGTGCGTGGAGCCGACGTGAGCGTGGAGCCGACGTGTGCGTGTAGCCGACGTGTGCGTGGAGCCGACGTGAGCGTGGAGCCGACGTGTGCGTGTAGCCGACGTGTGCGTGGAGCCGACGTGAGCGTGGAGCCGACGTGAGCGTGTAGCCGACGTGAGCGTGTAGCCGACGTGAGCGTGTAGCCGACGTGAGCGTGTAGCCGACGTGAGCGTGTAGCCGACGTGAGCGTGTAGCCGACGTGAGCGTGTAGCCGACGTGAGCGTGTAGCCGACGTGAGCGTGTAGCCGACGTGAGCGTGGAGCCGACGTGAGCGTGGAGCCGACGTGAGCGTGTAGCCGACGTGAGCGTGTAGCCGACGTGAGCGTGTAGCCGACGTGAGCGTGTAGCCGACGTGAGCGTGTAGCCGACGTGTGCGTGGAGCCGACGTGAGCGTGTAGCCGACGTGTGCGTGGAGCCGACGTGAGCGTGTAGCCGACGTGTGCGTGTAGCCGACGTGTGCGTGGAGCCGACGTGAGCGTGTAGCCGACGTGTGCGTGTAGCCGACGTGTGCGTGGAGCCGACGTGAGCGTGTAGCCGACGTGTGCGTGGAGCCGACGTGAGCGTGGAGCCGACGTGAGCGTGTAGCCGACGTGTGCGTGGAGCCGACGTGTGCGTGGAGCCGACGTGAGCGTGTAGCCGACGTGTGCGTGGAGCCGACGTGAGCGTGTAGCCGACGTGTGCGTGTAGCCGACGTGTGCGTGGAGCCGACGTGAGCGTGTAGCCGACGTGTGCGTGGAGCCGACGTGTGCGTGGAGCCGACGTGAGCGTGTAGCCGACGTGTGCGTGTAGCCGACGTGTGCGTGTAGCCGACGTGGGCGTGGAGCCGACGTGAGCGTGTAGCCGACGTGTGCGTGGAGCCGACGTGAGCGTGTAGCCGACGTGTGCGTGTAGCCGACGTGTGCGTGGAGCCGACGTGAGCGTGTAGCCGACGTGTGCGTGTAGCCGACGTGTGCGTGGAGCCGACGTGTGCGTGGAGCCGACGTGAGCGTGTAGCCGACGTGTGCGTGTAGCCGACGTGTGCGTGGAGCCGACGTGAGCGTGTAGCCGACGTGTGCGTGTAGCCGACGTGAGCGTGGAGCCGACGTGAGCGTGTAGCCGACGTGAGCGTGTAGCCGACGTGTGCGTGGAGCCGACGTGAGCGTGGAGCCGACGTGTGCGTGGAGCCGACGTGAGCGTGTAGCCGACGTGTGCGTGGAGCCGACGTGAGCGTGTAGCCGACGTGTGCGTGGAGCCGACGTGAGCGTGGAGCCGACGTGTGCGTGGAGCCGACGTGAGCGTGTAGCCGACGTGAGCGTGTAGCCGACGTGAGCGTGTAGCCGACGTGTGCGTGGAGCCGACGTGAGCGTGGAGCCGACGTGTGCGTGGAGCCGACGTGAGCGTGTAGCCGACGTGTGCGTGGAGCCGACGTGAGCGTGGAGCCGACGTGTGCGTGGAGCCGACGTGAGCGTGGAGCCGACGTGAGCGTTTGTGGGCAGTAAAGTTAATAATGGGGCCTGGGCGGAGACCGGGCCGCCGGCCACACCACCACAAAGCCAGCGACGCTTAGACAATATTGTGTGCATGTTGGCGGCCGCCAGGCCAGCCGCAAGGGTTATAAGGCCGGCCTTGACCAGTGTTGTGGGTCACTGTCGGCCTTGACCAGTCCCGCGTGTTGTGGGTCACTGTCGGCCTTGACCCCTTCATATTGTGGTGGGTGTTTACCCTTTCTAAATGGCCTTCATTTAAACACACACACACACACACACACACACACACACACACACACACACACACACACACACACACACACACACACACACACACACACAGTGTAGATATGATAGAGCCCAGTAGGCTGAGGAACCTGTACACCAGTTGATTGACAGTTGACAGTTGATTACCAGTTGAGTGACAGCACTTGACTATGCAGCACCGGCCTGGAGTACACACCGAGCCAGCTCCAAGAACTAGACCAGTTTAAGAAGTATGGAGGAAATAAGAAACAGGGAAGAGAGACAGGGCGAGAGAGAGAGAGAAAATGTTGAAAATACTGAGGAGCAGAAGCAGAAGACATAAGTGGAAGCGGGAGAGGCTAGGGGACAGGATGCCAGCACTGTACAGTGTGGCCGTGGCCGGCAGGTGCAGTGGGCTACATGGAGAGATTACACTCGTACGTTAAGAAGTACGGGTAAAATAAGGAATAATAGTCAATTCGTTAACTGACCAGGGGTTAAAATGCGAGGCTTGGGAGATAAGGCTCGACAGTGCAAGCCCTTCTAGGTGAGTACACAAGAACTACCCGCGAACACAAGGTTGTTGTTGTTGTTGTTTAAGATTCAGTTACTGGGAACAAAAAGTTGCAAGTAGCACGGGCTATGGTGAGCCCGGGGTGGACTTACCTGGCACAGGAGCGGGACTGTAACTGCACACAAGGTAAAATCTTGGGCTTTAATTTACCTCTCATTCCCTCCCTACACCTCTCCCCCCCCCCACTCCCACACCTCCCCCTACCCCCCCCCCGACCCCCACCACTCCCACACCTCTCCCTCCCCCTTTAACAGTGTGCAATTGCAGAGTCCAGCTGTGAGCACATTAGGCCAGGCAATTATTCCTAGGCAGATGCGTAGCAGCATTACGCGCGCGCGCACACACACACACACACACACACACACACACACACACACACACACACACACCACACACACACACACACACACACACACACCACACACACACACACACACACACCACACACACACACACACACACACACACACACACACACACACACACACACACACACACACATACTACGACGGGGCCTCGTAGCCTGGTGGATAGCGCGCAGGACTCGTAATTCTGTGGCGCGGGTTCGATTCCCGCACGAGGCAGAAACAAATGGGCAAAGTTTCTTTCACCCTAAGTGCCCCTGTTACCTAGCAGTAAATAGGTACCTGGGAGTTAGTCAGCTGTCACGGGCTGCTTCCTGGGGGGTGTGTGTGGTGTGGGGAAAAAAAAAAAGTAGTTAGTAAACAGTTGATTGACAGTTGAGAGGCGGGCCGAAAGAGCAAAGTTCAACCCCCGCAAAACACAACTAGTAAACACAACTAGTAAACACACACATTCCGTCCGGTTTGGGCCGGACGGAATCTCACCATGGGTGTTGAAAGAGTGTGCAGAGGCACTTTGCTTACCACTCTCCATAGTGTATAGTAAGTCACTGGAAACGGGAGACCTACCAGAAATATGGAAGACTGCTAATGTAGTCCCAATATACAAAAAGGGTGACAGACAAGAGGCACTGAACTACAGGCCAGTGTCCTTAACTTGTATACCATGCAAGGTGATGGAGAAGATTGTGAGAAAAAACCTAGTAACACATCTGGAGAGAAGAGACTTCGTGACAACCCATCAACATGGGTTCAGGGAGGGTAAATCTTGCCTTACAGGCTTGATAGAATTCTACGATCAGGTGACAAAAATTAAGCAAGAAAGAGAAGGGTGGGCGGCCTGATTTTTTTTGACTGTCGGAAAGCCTTTGACACAGTACCCCATAAAAGGTTGATGCATAAGCTGGAGAAACAGGCAGGAGTAACTGGTAGGGCGCTCCAGTGGATAAGGGAGTACCTAAGCGATAGGAAGCAGAAAGTTATAGTGAGGGGTGAGACCTCAGACTGGCGTGAAGTCACCAGTGGAGTCCCACAGGGCTCTGTACTTGGACCTATCCTGTTTCTGGTATACGTAAATGATCTCCCAGAGGGTATAGACTGATTCCTCTCAATGTTTGCTGAGGACGCCATAATTATGAGAAGGATTAAGACAGAGGAGGACAGCTTGAGGCTTCAAGAAGACCTGGACAAGCTGCAGGAATGGTCGAACAAATGGCTGTTAGAGTTTAACCCAAGCAAATGTAATGTAATGAAGATAGGGGTAGGAAGCAGGAGACCAGATACAAGGTACCATTTGGGAGATGAAATACTTCAAGAGTCAGAGAGAGAGAAAGACCTGGGGGTTGATATCACGCCAGACCTGTCCCCTGAAGCTCATATCAAGAGGATAACATCAGCAGCATATGCCAGGTTGGCTAACATAAGAACGGCCTTTAGAAACTTGTGTAAGGAATCTTTCAGAACATTATATACCACATATGTCAGACCAATCCTGGAGTATGCGGCTCCAGCATGGAGTCCATATCTAGTCAAGCATAAGACTAAACTGGAAAAGGTTCAAAGGTTTGCCACCAGACTAGTACCCGAGCTGAGAGGTATGAGCTACGAGGAGAGACTACGGGAATTAAACCTCACTTCGTTGGAAGACAGAAGAGTTAGGGGGGACATGATCACCACATTCAAGATTCTCAAGGGAATTGACAGGGTTGATAAAGACAGGCTGTTTAACACAAGGGGCACACGCACTAGGGGACACAGGTGGAAACTGAGTGCCCAAATGAGCCACAGAGATATTAGAAAGAACTTTTTTAGTGTCAGAGTGGTTGACAAATGGAATGCATTAGGAAGCGATGTGGTGGAGGCTGACTCCATACACAGTTTCAAGTGTAGATATGATAGAGCCCAATAGGCTCAGGAACCTGTACACCTGTTGATTGACGGTTGAGAGGCGGGACCAAAGAGCCAGAGCTCAACTCCCGCAAGCACAACTAGGTGAGTACAACTAGGTGAGTATACACACACACACACACACACACACACACACACACACACACACACACACACACACACACACACACACACACACACACACACACACACACACACACACACACTCACACTTCTATGACCAAGAAGCAATTCTTGATTCTATTAATAGCCAAGCAACACAAATTAGGCAAGAAAGAGAAGGGTGGACAGACTGCATTTTCTTGGACTGTCAGAAACCTTTTGACACAGTACCCCATAAAAGGCTGTTACTAAAGTTGGAGCAACAGGCAGGAGTAAAAGGGAAGGTGCTCCAGTGGATAAGGGAATACTTAAGCATCAGGAAACAGCGAGTAACGGTGAGGGGGGAAGACATCAGAGTGGCGAGATGTCACCAGCGGAGTCCCACAGGGCTCAGTACTTGGACCCATCCTGTTTCTAATATATGTAAACGATCTTCCGGAGGGTATAGACTCGTTCCTCTCAATGTTTGCTGATGATGCAAAAATTATGAGAAGAATCAAGACGGATGACGATAGACAGAGACTACAGGATGACCTGGATAAACTGGAGGAATGGTCTAGAAAATGGCTGCTAAAGTTCAACTCAGGAAAGTGTAACGTAAGGAAAATTAGGCGAAGGGAGCAGAAGGCTGAACACAAGGTATCATCTGGGAGGTGAAATCTAGCAAGAGTCAAATAGAGAGAAAGATCTGGGGGTTGATATCACACCGAACCTGTCCCCGAGAAGTCCACATCAAAAGGATATCAACAGCGGCATATGCTAGATTGGCCAACATAATAACTGCCTTTAGAAACTTGTGTAAGGACTCGTTCAAGCCCTTGTATACCACTTATGTCAGACCAATCCTGGAGTATGCAGCTCCAGCCTGGAGTCCATACCTAGTTAAACACAAGACAAAGTTAGAGAAGATTCAGAGGTATGCTACCAGACTCGGCCTGGAACTAAGAGGTATGAACTACGAGGAAAGGCTAAGGGAGCTGAACCTCACGTCCCTGAAAAACAGAAGAGTAAGGGGAGACATGATAACCACCTACAAAATTCTCAGGGGAATTGACAAGGTGGACAAAGACAAACTCTTTAACACGGGTGGAACACGAACAAGGGGACACAGGTGGAAGCTGAGTACCCAGATGAGCCACAGAGACGTTAGAAAGAACTTTTTCAGTGTCAGAGTAGTTAACAGGTGGAATGCATTAGGAAGTGATGTGGTGGAGGCTGACTCCATACACAGTTTCAAATGTAGATATGATAGAGCCCAGTAGGCTCAGGAACCTGTACACCTGTTGATTGACAGTTGAGAGGCGGGACCAAAGAGCCAGAGCTCAACCCCCGCAAGCACAACTAGGTGAGTACAACTACGTGAGTGGTACGGCGTAAAGGGGGGGGGGGACGAATAGGATAAAAATGGGGGACGAATAAAGCGGGATAAAGGGAGGAAACACATACACATATTAATCAGGTGTAGTGGGCGGGCCGTGTTGAGCAGTGTCGTCCACGTTGATATTTTCGTGTTCCGGTCTTGTTCTCACTCTCATGGTGGGCACAGTACCCACCTACTGGGCTCTATCATATCTACACATGAAACTGTGTATGGAGTCAGCCTCCACCACATCACTGCCTAATGCATTCCATTTGTCAACCACTCTGACACTAAAAAAGTTAGTTTTAACATCTCTGTGGCTCATGTGGGTACTCATGTGGGTACTCCCACAGGTCTCTGTACTTGTGGGAGTACCCACAAGTACACACACACACACACCCTTGTGTCCCCTTCTTCAACTGTGATCAACAAGGGGACACAGTTTCCACCTGTGTCCCCTTGTTCGCCTACAACCCGTGTTAAACAGTTTGTCTTTGTCTACTCTGTAAATTGTCCTGAGAATCTTGGTGGTAATCGTGACTCC